GACTCTACCTTCGAGACACCGGAAATATTTATTGAATTGTACACGAAGTGTCATTTCTTGCTTGATTACTTTCAGAATCTGTATACCGTAAACAACAAATATAAAATGTTCTTGGTTCTTTTGTTGGTTCTTTTGTGTTTAAAAACTTATTCATGTTCAACTCTTGCGCACATTTTTAGCATTTCTAGATCATCTGTTTCTCGAATCGTAAACTCTGTCTGGCCCATTCTTTACGAAGTGCTCGAACAATCGAACAAAATATATTCATATAGACGTTGATTTAAAACATATTTTATTCAAATCAATGAAATGGACTGAACAGCAGGCATAAATACCTATTATCGTTCTCTCCATATTGGTCAAGGCACAATTACAGGTACATTTAAACATAAAAAAATGTATGAAGAGTAAATTATCAATTGGTATATATTTAGAATGAATCCAGAGAGAGAGAGAGAGAGAGAGAGGAGACGATGGCGTAATCTTAAAGGTAAGTGGCGTAAGTTATACCTAAAAGAGTTGACTTCTCATGAAATCTACTGTCCCTCAACAGAACCACAACGTCTATATTACATGTACAGCGGGCATCGCAGGGCAGGTACCACTGTGTCCACACACAATCATCATTGATGCTGAGTTAAAAAATTTGTCACATAGAATCCGGATTTCTGGGGCACATTGATGATGCTCAAACTTTCAGGATGATGACGCCTATCGGATCTGGTAAAGAACTAGACTTTCCAAGGGACTGTTACCTCCTAGGCGATAGCATTTACCCATCCGGACATCCTATAGTTACTCCATTTACAGCAGCTCAGATTCGCCGCCAGTCACAAAATATCCGAGAAGAGTGCAAACGTGTTAATAAAAAAGATACGAGAGTACAGAGACTATATCGAGCATGTTATTCATATAGTAAAGATTTTTAAGGTTATTTCTACTTTGAACAGACGTTCGAGAGAACAAATTGGCGATATTGTCTGCCTGTGCGCATGTCTAGCGGTCAGCAGAACAAAATTACATTTTTACATAATGGAGCCTCAAATTAGGAAAAATGGAAAAGGAGGTTAATGATTAGAGCTAAATTGATAGTCGCGTGTAATCCGATTATGATTAAAAAACATAATTAAAAAATACAAATTTTAAAACATTGAATTCAAAAGAGGACGTCTTGAGACGAAAAACCCAATAGCATCACCCCCAAGAACAGAGCATATCAATAAATGTAGAAAAATATGAAGAAAATGAATATATATTTGATGATTAATAATAAGGACCCCCCTCCCCCCCCAAAAAAAATATAAAATAAAAAAAACAAAATGCAACCCCCCACCCCACCCCCCCAAAAAAAACCAAACAAACAAACATACAAACGAAAAAAATATTTTAAACAAATCAAAACAGAACAAAAACAAGCTAATTCAGAGAATTTGTGTCCCCCGCTTAGGGAAAAAAGAAGAGCATGCGCAATTCTAGTGGGGGAGGGTCTTACCCCCCTCCCCTGGATTTGTAGAATTATTAAATGTGTACATGTATATTGAAGCAAATATCAAATGCCAATATGGATATAAAGATTTGATTGATTATTCTTTAATATGTGTATAGAAGATTCTATTTATATAGAATATTTATCACTCTGTAATAATGATTTTATGAGATTGAACACGCCAGACGTCATAACTTTATCATTTCATATGTTGAATACTACATGTATCATTTAGTAAATCCAGAAAAATAAAAAAAGGATCGTCCTGGATTTGAACCCGGGACCTCTCACTCGCAAAAGCTCAAAGGATTCTCGAGATATCGCACGGAAATGAAAGTGTTAAAGCAGATACAACTTCTGACCTTGACCTTTTGACCTCAAAATAAATAGGGTTCTTCTGCATGCCATAGGAAGTTGCTATGAGAAATTTCATTGCGAAAGCTCAAAGAGTTCTCGAGATATCGCGGGGAAACGGACGTGTTACAGAAAGACAGAAATACAAACGGACGGACGGAGAGACAGATCCAAATTAATATCCCCCACTTTCAGTGAAAGCGGGGGACAAAATAGATGTAGTAGTATTTTGCAGATGTAATCATGACTTTGGTACATTTAAATGCATAGGGAGGTGGAAGAGGCTGAACACTTTTCATATTTAAATTCCATATATTCGTCGTCATCGTACATGTGAAAAATAAATCACAGAAAAATATCAGTATTCCTATACTTATGTTTTGTATAATTAAGAAATTATCTTGAGCTGATATCTTTTTTTCCAGTTTTCAAATCGGGATCGAGATCCCTCCAATTCAGTTTCGTTTCAGATTCATTCGATTCATATTCAGAAACATCTCTATTATAGGAAATAGAGACATCGCATGTTTTCGATCTCTTTGACTTATCGCGGTTTAATCCTTAATAACCTATGTTCATTTCTTACAATGATGAAAAAAAAAAACCATTCACCATCACTCCAATTTATTTTCACCTTAAGAAATTCTTCCTTATCACCCCTTTTTGCTCGAAACTATTCAACTAGTTACACATAAAATGTACACATTTGTTGAATAAACAACTACATGTTGTAATCGTAAGAATCTTTGTATACGCCACTTTTTCTGGTTTTGAAAATATCCATACCTTTGATTCAGGGATGGGGTAATTGAAAAGAGTAATTGTAATTGACAGTAATTAATTACATTTTTTTAAAGTAATTGGAAATAATTTGTAATTGAACGTTTTTTCAATTACTTGTAATTGTAATTTAATTAATTACACTGAAAAATTACATGTAATTTCAATTACCTTTTCAATTACATTCAATTACTCTATATAATACACATTCATGATATATTCATGACATATCGCCACCACTACCTCCCCATTTTACTGGTTTTTATTTTATTGTTAAACATATCCTCAATCCTTCAATTATACAAAATCTTAGGTTAATGCTTACAAAAAAATAATTAAATGATTGGCTTGATAATAATAAACTAGTTTCTTTTTAATCATTATGTAAATTTTGAATTTTTAATCTATGTTTATAAATATGAATTTTGAACCACCCTCCTTACATGTAGGTCTATTCAGCTATGAAACACACATTTATTATATTTCAATCTTTGTTGTTTGTTCAATAATAAAGAAAAAAAAGGTGTGTGTCATTAATTAAGTTCTCTCTTGTTGGGAAGAGATAATTGCCCTCCAGATCACAGCTTTAAATTGCAATCAAAACAAATCAACTCCTCTAAAGAGATATTCATTCCATGATTTAGAAGACAAAGCCAATGGAGATAATTATTTCAATTTAAAATGCTCCGCTAGCTTTAGAAAAGAAAAACTTTCGATTTGATAATTATTTTAACATCTAAACAGATTTTTATGAATGAATTTTCCATCTGTACAATTCTGATTTATGAAGTAAAATTGATCAACATAAATAGCAATTTAGGATGTTCAGGTTACCTTCAAAGGAAACATTTAATTTGAGGGGTTACAGTTGCAACTCATTTCACTCTGTTAAAATACTCACTTTTAATCAAATATCATAAGCCATGCAATTTGTGTACATGTAGGTTTTGTGTGGTGGAAACTGCATCAAACTGATCTCGGATAGTTCTTTAAGAGATTCTTATTGTTTTGTATATAAATGTTATAAATTAAACCAGAATGATACACAATGCCTATAGCATATTATTTCTTGTACTGTTTGTGCAGAGGCTGAGCTTATATACAAATAAATGATGTTCTGTATATTAATTGACAAGGATTATAAAAATTTTCAAAAAAATTAAAAATGTAATTTGTAATTTAATTAATTACTTTTGCAAAGTAATTGTCATTTAATTAATAACATGTCTTAGAAAGCCTGTAATTTAATTGTAATTTAATTGAAGAAAAAGTCAAAGTAATTGTAATTTAATTAATTACTTTTTAAAGTAATTGACCCCATCCCTGCTTTGTTTCAGTATTTATGTATAACGTATATATAATTTATATATAACGTGCGCTGTAGATATGACAGAAGTACATACTGACCGAGTTGTACTATCAGGTATCTCGCCATGTGTCGATTACAAATATTCTGGACAATATTGTACATCTCCTCTGAAATAAGTAAGTCAATTTCATTACAAAGAAATCTAGACGTCTGAGGACAGTCACCATAAAGCAGTGTTTATTTCCAAAAAGTAACTAAAACTGACACATGCACCGAATATTCAAAGGGGACCTGAAAGAGGAAGAATCACCTCGGAATGTATCATTTACAGGGTATGATTAAATTTCACACAAAATCAAATAAATCGGTTGTTAAACAACGAGTGGTATTTGTTATTCGTAACCACTGATTCATTTAATATAATGTGAAATTTAATCGTAGTCTGTAAATGTCCCAACAAGCACGCAACGTTGTTTCAACGTTGAAAGTAGGTGAAATAAAAATTTGCAACATTGAGATACAGGATTTGTCTGGATAACTCCTTCTACATTCCTCAAGCTAAGAAATTTGTATTTAGCAGATCTTTTGTGCATATATTAGAGACGTGCATAGATTTTTTGTGTTTTTTGGAAATTTATAAGTTAAATACAATTTATTTAACTTAATACTTTTAATGCAAAATATGTTTATAGGGTACATTGAAATTGACATCTCCTACAGTTTTAAAAATAGAAAGTATTTTTAAATGATTTATGCGAGAAATACCAGGGCGTAATAAGTTTTCAGAGCTTGTGCCCAATCCCATTGTATTTATAAATTACAATAAAATATGTTCAAACCAAAGAAAATCCAATATGCTGTCACATGACAGCTTTTTTCTTGTTATATATTTTTACGTTTTATTGATTGTTTGAGTGCTTTTTTTTATCAATGGAAACATCGACAATCAAAAAGGTTTATTCAATCACGGCTATCTGCTAGCATTCATATTTTTTTTACACAATGTTATAGTGCATAACCTGAAATACTTTACCACTATTAATTCTAATGAATATATACCTTCTCTTTCAGTTTTGTTTACTTCTGGGGACGGACCTTGTGGAGACTGGGTCTCCCTCCTGGACTCCTGTTACTTGTTTTCCGAGTTCACAAATACGTGGAGTGAAGCAGTGGTAAGTTAATGTTGTTTTTAAAGCAAAGATAAAAATTTTAAAAATTTCAGCAGTATCCATTTAAATTAATTAAATAAAGGATCCATAACAGTGCGAGTTAGTACCCGGATAACCGGTAAGTCACGTGACTCTTGAAAATTAAGGAACTGGAGATTGAGAAATCCGGTTACTAACGAGCACTTGTTATGGGACTTATTTCTCACATTATACGTACAAACATGGACTTGTAAGCTGTGGTGAAATAAACATGACGCAGAAGCAGTTGCTCCTCCCGTAAGTATAGATACCTCCCTGGTAATATACCTCGATGATATGTCCGACTGAAATACACAAGGAAAAAGTTCAAAGAATCCTAGACGTTTACTAACCTACACTGTGGTGGCATTTTCTGCCATCAAAGGCATGAACTTTGAGTAGACTTTGGAAATGCAACCAATTAGAATCATGGAAGTATATACAGCCAATGATAATCGTCCTAGGTGTTTTATAACATATTATGAACACGAAAAAAAGAAGAAAAGTGATGAAACTCAGTTGATAATAGGAGAAAAATTATCATACGATCGTATTTTTACTATAAGCTTGATAAAATATGACGGCTTTTGAGTTAAAGTCCCCAAAGGACGTTGTAAATAGGTGACATGGTGCAAACAGAATCCAATAAAGCGGAAAACTAATCTACAATCTTAAAGATATTTAATGATATCTGTTTATACCCTGAAGTTACATGTAGTTGATAATTAAATTTTTCATTTATTTTGTAAAAGAACATTTTGTTTCAGGCAGTTTGTAAAGCATTTGAAGCTGACTTGGTTTCTATAGAGTCAAACGACGAGAATCTATTGATCGATGGCTACTTACAAACCAAGCATCCACACGGTAAATCATTATAACTTCTTCGAAGTTTTCTTACGTACAATAATGAACTTTAATATATTTTTCCATGAAAGGCTGCAATTATGAAACTGCTCATGGCACTACCGTGATCAGTATTTTTCGGGCCAACACCTAGTGCGAGACTGGATTGCATTTCAAATGGTCTCAATCGAAATACAAGCATATAGGATTCTAACCCGTGACATAAGAAGTGGTCTCATTTGTCAGCTCTTTATAATTAGACCCTCCTTCTATCCCCCCGTCAACCAAGCTACTAAACAAGTCAATTATATACTGGGGTAATTATGTGTTGAGATATTTTACTTGATATGTTTGCAAGTTCTACTACATTCCATTAGGGTTGATTATGCTTCTACAACATGTTACATAACTCCGTAACGTTTCTTGGTTTCTTTGCATAACATTTATGTTCTTTTATAAATGTAAATAAACAAATAAAAAGCATCCCGTGATTCTTGCGTAGAACATTTATTAAACTTATTATCTACAGATAACGACAAAGTAGCTGCAGATTATTGGATTGGTGGAAATGACATCGAGGCTGAGGGTAACTTTAAATGGATAGGATCGGAGCAGCCCTTTACTTTTACCTACTGGATGACTGGTCAACCTGATCCGGCGGAGCAGGATTGTGTTGAAATCCGGGGAGTTAGCAATTTCCGCTGGCATGACGAAACATGCACCCATCAGCACCGCTTTATTTGCGAGAAACCGTAAGAAAAAGTTATTGCACTGCTTTATATATTTATCATGATATGAAGAATTTGACTGATATAATTTAGATTTCCACCCCAGAGCTGTTTCGAGTTGGAGGTGGGAGTGACATTTCTCATCGAGAACCGTTTTCCCTCATGTATATAAAATCTAACAAAGTTAAGTAAATTCAAAAGTCGTTTTTCTTTTGGTAATTTTACTACTGGAATAAGAACCACCAAGTGAAATGTCAATCCGTCTACATTTGCTCTTAGGGATTGCTTCAATGAAGCAATCATGTCTACTGTGTGTAGTATTCATAACATAGCATATAGTGTGTGTTTTGTAGATATAAAAAAAAGCACAACATTATTGAGACGGCTCAACTACGGTCATCCTTTTAACGTTAGATGGGTGATTGTTTTGAAAAAAAATGTACTAAATTGTCGGTGAAACACAATGACATTATTTCAGACTGAGCCTAGTGCAATATAAAACACTAACCACATTGCATGAAGTCATAAGCAAATGTCTTGCTTTGACAACCCAAAAAGAGATATTACTAAATGCTTTTTGATATTTTGGTGCTTTTTAAAAGAACACTTGTTAAGATGTTAAAGAAAGTTAAATATGTTGCTGTATTGTGTTAATTGTATAAAAATTGTTGCTTAAGTTAATACATGTTTGTATTAGTAACAAGATTTTTTTTTGTTTCAGGATTGGTTCTCCCCCAGATATTGATGTCATCGGTTGAAACTTCTTAACATTATAATAATGTATAATTATAGTGCTTTGAATAAAAATTGAGCGTATAATGTTCTCAAAAAGCAAATAATTCAGTATAAGATTGTGTTTAAATTGTAATCAAAGATAATAGATATCGTTAATGTAAATAATATATAATTTCGTTAAACGTCATTTTTATGGGCGCTTTTGACATTTACAGTTTCACTTTGCACTTTGACAGATATCATTAAGTGCTTTCTTATTCACGTCCTAATAGAGACTGTATTGTTTCTAATAATTTGTCATGTTGAGAGCTGAATCTCCATTTTTCATGTGCAAATTGAAAAAAAAATGCTAGCTCCTTTTGACTACCGGTGATGTACTTATTTTATACTCGCAATTCACTTTCTAACTAAAGGATAAAATTCTTCACAATCACATGCCAGTGTTTAAAACTGTTAACATTCAAGTTAACCAAGGTGAGTTCGATCTACCCTACCTATACTGGATTCCTTAACTTCTTAAAAATTCTTGCAAACTTCAGATATATTGCCAGGTCAAGCAAGTGCTCTACCATGTCCCTATCTTCACTCCTTACAAAAATATTAACTGCTGTAAAGGAGAAAATTCACATATACTGTGCTATAGCATTTTCTAGCAGTGGTGTAAATTATCAGATGTGGATTCTCTAAAACGTCAAAGAACTTTTAGAAAATTTAAAATCATCATATTTTTCAAAAGCCAATAACATCAAAATGTAAGACTTTTCTACACTTTATATAACCATTCCATAAACTAAACAGTAGGCTTTTTTGAAATCAAAAACAACTGCTTCTTATTGGTGTGTAAACTGCAATGACTGGCACGTAGGCATATTTTTTATGCTAGCGCTTCATAAAATATGCCAACGTGACAGGTATGTGTGATTTATATACTAGTAACACTCACAAACTAAAAAAATCAACGTAAGTGGTACATACATGTACAATAATCAATGTGACACTTTAATTATGGTAAGAATTATTTGGAGGTAAATTTTTATTTGTGATACAGTGTATATATGCACAATATCTAGTCAATAAAGACCTGAACAATAAACTCTCCCAAATATTTAACATTTTATAGTTTAAATCATGTTCAAAATAGAAAAATAAAACAGTACAAAGATGAGAAATCTGCAATTATATGCATAAACAAGCCTATCTGCCTGGTTACTACGTTAAGGACTTGTGCTAAACTATAATAGACTGATATGAAGAAGTGACAATGGTTGATGATGTCAAGAAGGAAGGACTAATTTATTTATATATCCTCTGTATTATATTTGAGTGCATGAGCATACTGAATGTATATAAAGAAACAGATCTAGAGATAATCCCACGTTATTCCATTCAATTTAAAGTATATTTTGGTAAATTTATGAAGCATACACATATCTTTTAATAGTTTTTGTCACAGACCCATTTTTTTATATGTACTAATGTAAAAATTCAATTGGATGGGGGATATAATGAACCTTTAACTCATGAAAATTGGACCTCACAATGAGATTACTACAAAAGCGATAATCTATATCCTCAGAAAGAATGATTTTGGTTTGATTTAAAAGTTAAGCCATCTCTTCCGTGTGCTCAAATATCATAACTTTTTGCAGTCGTTGTCTAATTATAAAGAATTAAATGTTAATCTCGGAATAAAATTTTACTTTCGATAATGAAATCAGCATTTTTTTTTTTACAACAGCACTGTCTTGTCTCAATTTTACTTTTTATCTGTAAATTACTTTGTAAATGCAAAATAGGAAGATAATGAGAATTCAGTAAACAAAACCAATGGAAAACACCAGAGTTGGGATCAGGTGCCTATGAGGAGTAAGCATCCCCTGTTGACTGGTCACACCCACCGTGAACCTTATGTATTGTTCAAGTAATACAATGACCTAACAAATGGTATTAAACATATCAGACAAAATACGACCCAACGCTAAGTTGTATTTACAAACAAGGTCATTAAACCGACCGTAGAATTTGCCATAAGCTAACTTTAAAACGGGTTTGTTGAAATCAGTGATTTTAAAGATCATGATTTGTTTATTATACTTTATTACATGTATGAAAATACTCTGTATTCTTAAATAGTAAATCGTAATTGTTAGAAAGTCCTTTAATTTTCTTGAATTATATAAAAGACTCCTTTCCATTTTAAAGGAGTTTTGAACCTATCCGATGTATATGCCATTTCAAATATCAGAAGGAGAAAATGAAATAAGAAATGATCGTTTCGAAATGAACTTAGTATTTTTTTTTTTGTTGTTGTTGTTTTGATTTGAAGGTAAAAAGTCCTGACAAAACGTGAAACTACACATGCATGAATGTCAACCACCAGTCTACACTGACTTCGATTGTAGTGTATGCATTTGCTTTTTTCACTGAAAATAATTTCGCTTATCGCAGTCGTCCGTCCACAATAAATTAACAAAGCTGTCATACTAAGTACAAACACATGCCTTTCGGATTCAATCTGTAGCAAACTTTGCAGCTATTAATAGGTGAATTGTTTTCCAAAAATACATATTTTTTTCAAATGAATCCCTATCGTTAGCCATATAACGTCAGAGTAACTTGTTTCTGCACAGTATTGATAAATACTTATATTCACCCTTAATATTCCGGGAGGAGTAAAGAAAGAGGTCTGATAATATATAATCCCGCTATATATTTTCGTGCGGATATATATATATATATATATATATATATATATATATATATATATATATATATATATATATATATATATATATATACATACGAGGGTTGTTAGAAAAGTTCGCGGACACATTGATTTACGGAAAATCTATTGTGTACTGTGAAGTATGACCTATATATCTGATTAAATTCCTATATTTTGTTTATTAGAATGTAAAAAAATCAGGTCCATACTATAACTGTGAAAATTTACAACGATTTTTACTATGCGGTCATAGGATTCACGGAGCAATCACTTGAAGTTAAGTGACGTGACAATCAGATTTCAAACCCGTTAAGCTTTTTATCAGTTCTAAATATCTTTCATTTCTTTAGACTTTTCTTGTCTTTTTTCTACTTAAAAATTAAATATCTATATCAAGACATGTTACTTTTCTTCTATAATGTCTTTTTTTGTTGTTTCGGATATTAGTGAGATCTTAAAATAATTAAAATAAATGTCTACGCAGTTAAGCGATCAGATATGGAAACAATGCAAAATCCATAGGCGCAACTTCCATGCGATAAGTGGGGTATTGAGGTATCGATGGAGTTGATCATTAAAAATGTTAATCCTTCCATTCTTAAAAAGCTACTACCATTTGAATACTTTTGTCCTTTATACATGTAGGCAATATCCAGCAGCATCTAGAAGCATTTTAGTCTATTTTTAGACATTTTCTTGTCTGTACACATAATTTTTTAGTAGCTCGGTGCTCCATGACTTTCAATGACGTTCCCATTCTTGGCTTTGCTTTTACGCGTTGATTATTTATAAATGGCTATAAAACAGTCATACACCCTCCAATTTAATTCAAAATTTCGCCAAGTGACCTTTCATGAATACTGTAGCGCTAGATAAAATATTATAATTCTTTTTGCGCTACAACTGTGCAATTTTCAATTTCATTAAAAGGTCTATGTAATGTAAACGTGCGAAAAAGTAGCATGCTCCGTGAAGCATGTTTTATCAAAATAATATAGCTGTATATTTTTTAAGGATCACCGGAAAACACCAAATTTTTGTATATTGCAAAATAGGTAAAGTTTTTATCTGGATTGCTTAACCGGTTTCATAGAAATAGCGCGCTCACAATAGAACTTGTCCGCGAACTTTTCTAACAACCCTCGTATATATATATATATATATATATATATATATATATATATATATATATATATATATATATATATATATATATATATATATATATATATATTCTGAAGCTCATACCGTACGTTCCAATCAAACAAATATAGGGTGAATTCACCATGCATCGGACACCCTTGTACTTCAACAAGTTCTAGCGATATCGCTACCGACCGAATATTATCAAAATAAAACTTAACATGTAGTATGCGATTAAAATATAAATTTTTGACACAATCGTGTGCTATTTATTAATATTTATTATATTCTATTTATTTATTAAAAACTGATTTCTTCGAAATAAGTCAGAATTCACCATGGATCGGACAATATTCACCATGCATCGGACATACGGTATTTGAACCAGAAAAATATCATACCTTGATCTCGGTGCTTTAAAATTAGTGATATTGAAACATTTGTATCTTTTATTTAAAAATTAATTCTCTAGTTAAATTTGAATGACTATTTCGATCCACAAATGTGAAGAGATTTTAGTTGCATCACATCGCTTTAGAAAGGCTTTACAATGCTACATGTATTATTATGGTAACTCGCGCCTTTGTCTCGTGGGTTATCATCATCTAGTTTAAAGAAATAAAATTGAGTCCACTTCTAGTCGTCATATATCGATAACTTGTAATTTCATTGAAAATTTAGAGTTTTTATTTTCTATTTCTGTTAAAAACAGCTGTCATTTGGGTTTTATATGAAAATGGAAGCGATTACCCATGCATCGAAAAGTGTCCGATCCATGGTTAATTTGTGTCCGATGTACGGTGAAATAAACATACTAGTAAAAGCAACTCTAAAAAATATTATACAAACATTGAAGTAAAATTTTTGAAAAAAATTCTTTAAAACTTTCAATCATTGACAAATTTTACCTAGGTCCGTCTCGTTCCGTTGAAGTCTATTTAAAAGAACGACAACTCTAAAAATTGCAAAATCGTAAAATTCTGGTTACTTCCCTTTGATGATGCAAATATGACGTAATTTCAAGGCCATTCGAGTGGTATTTTATTCACAACATGAAAATAAAAATCGGCATCATTAAAAAGTTGAAATCTTCACATTTGAGACAGAAACAAGTAAAAACACGGAAAGACTCAGGTTCATTGAAAGTTTATTGCTTAAAGTTGTTCAAAGCAAGGTATGTGTCCGATGGTTAACTCAC